TTCAATCGAATGAATCATTCAAGCTTTTGTTATCGCACAAACCACGGAATCAATGCATAGATAGAAATCAAATAAAATTTAAATCACCCATTTTCTTAAAATTAGTAGAGACTTTTAATTTAGGCATCTTCTTAAAAATAGTAGATAATTTAATTCACTTATTTTATTAAAATACTACATAATTTAATTAATTCTTAAAATTAGTAGAGAATTTAATTCACTCATCTTATTAAAAATTGTAGAGAATTTAAGTCACTCATCTTCTTAAATTATAGTGAATTTTATTTATTCTTAAAATTAGTAGAGAAGGTATTTCACTCATCTTCGTAAAGGGGTATTATGGGAGATCAGTAAAGAGTTGACAGTTGTCGCTATAATAGTTAACAAATTGCTCCACTCTGAACCGAGATATTAGCTTTTGAATTTTAATCTAGCCTCAATCATAATTACTAAAGTCGGTACGATAAAAAAAAAGTCATAATTATCCATTTTTACGTTTAATTATTTTTCAAACAATGTATTCCAATCTGCTAAACATCATCGGCTAGCGATGGCATCGGGGGTTGATTATGGTCTGGATAAGTTAGTTAAGGTCTAATTTAGATAACATTTCATGCCTAAAGAAAGAACTGCAATAGGCAGATTTAGCTCTTGCATCTTCTTAAGTGAACTTTATTCATTCTTAAAATTAGTAGATAATTTAATTCACTCGTCTTAAAATTCGTAGAGACTTTAATTCACGCATCTTCTTAACAATAGTAAACAATTTAATTAACTCCTATTCTTAAAATTATTAGAGATTTTAATTCACTCATACTCATCTTCTTAAAATTATTAGAGATTTTAATTCACTCGTCTTCTTAAAATTACCTTCGGCTTCTAGAGATATTGAGTCATGGTGGTTCGGTGCGTATCGGGCTGGCACACTGAGCAGGTGGTCCCGTGTGTTCATTCCTGTTTGGGCTGAGATTTTCTTGAGATTTTCCATCTTAGTGTTACCTTATCTGTGGTGTATGACGGCGAAAATCTGAAGACGACACTCCCACCTTTCACCCCGTGATCCCAGTGAGACAACCTAATCGACTAACATGGGACTAAGTGATTGCTGGAATGACATGCACATGTCGTCAAACCCAATGTGGGTCCAACGGGTTAGATAGTGTTTGATTGGAGCTGAATTTCATTTGATTTAATTGATAACCGCAGTAATCACACAGCGGGACCTTCAAATCTGTGTTAGTCACGTGCTTATCCTAACAACTATCAATCCGACTGAGGGCGGGAGGCTTGGGGTGGTTGTGTCAGGAATTTTCTCACGCCTATGTTAGACACCACAAAGATTAGAATTGCACGGTAGATAAAGTGTTTCCACCCGGGCCCATCTTCTTCGCAGTCGGCCTGAAAATAGACAAATGAAATGAAACGTTCTTTAACGCCCTACGTAGCAACCATGCCAATGAAGTCGTATGGGCATTTTGCCCGAACATCAGTGTCTGTGTGAATAGCTTTATTTAAAGTCCGCTTTAACCTAAGCGATATTGCCAACAATTCCCGGGCAGCTTATTTCAAATTCCAACTATCAAGGGTTGTTTTACCTGCATGGTAACGTGTACACAGGAGACATATTTATCGTCCCATCCGAAAGACTAGACATATTTCCTTGCCAGCCCCGCCCCCATCCATCTTCAAAACTGACAAGTGGAATCCACTCTAAAAAAAACTCGAGATACTATCTAGGCTAACACAAGGATTGGAATCTGTGCCTTCGCTGTGACACTGAAAATAGACACGAGAATAACTATTATGCAGATTTTGGGTCAACCCTTTACTTTCCACGTCTGTGATCATTTTAATATCTTATAGCAAAGAATTAGAAGATAAAAACTGATAAAATCTGTAAGCACCATTCTGACTAATGAAGCATGAAATTGAGATATAAAATAACGACATAAGTAATTAAGTCAGATATTTTGAGGCTAATAAACCGAGACATTGATTTTTAATAAACCTTATAATAGTACAGATTTCTTCAACATGATGACATTATTTAACCAATATTGACTTCATTTCGTACTCCTCAGCAGCGCAGTAAGTATTTTGTCCTTTGGTTAGCAAACACGTGATGTCCCGTAAAGTCTCTAGTAATATTAAGTATTTAACCTTATGATATAATCAATACAGTTAAATTCATGTCTTTTTGTATTTCTAAAAGCATTTCAAGATATATAAAACAATTTTGATAACGGTAAAAACTGTCAGATTCTTTAGAAAAAATATCTTGCTCATTCCAGGTAAACAAAATACTTAAAAAATTGCCCAATTGGCACAATTTTGAAGTGCTTATTATTGGTATCTAAATATTGAGTGGAAAATAATTTTCTAGTTGGTTTAACACAATGGTCAGACAATATGTTTAGGATTTGATGCTACTCCGGACATCCTGGTCGATAAACCCATAAATAACCAAAACCATCCAAATATCTAACAATTTCACGCTTGGTTATATATTGGTTCAATTAATATTGTTTATTATGGCTGTTGTAAAAATAGGTAATGTCCAAATTTATGAATAGATAAGTCATGTCGTGGTTTTATTGAGAATTTTATACTGATATAAGAAATAAAAGTACCAGTAATTGCATATGGACGGCAACGCATCACTAGACCGGCACGTTATCCGGTAACATCTGTATGAGTTTATAGTGCCAACTTACCGTACGTACTGCCGCTGCTGTGAGGGGTCCATGTGGGTTCACCAGTACTGACACTGTTCGACCGGGACTGCGTGCCAATTCTGGCTAAACGTCGGTCCCGAATTTTCATTCCCACGTTTCACTGCAAAGTTGTTAATGGTTCTTCTTCACTGCGTCAGTATATTCCAAGAGATCAGTCTTGCTCCTATGATTATCTTGTTAGTGTTAACATCACTTAAAAGTATTAGTGTGCCTTTAATAAGCTTACACATCGTTTAACGTAATTAGTATTTTATGTTTACAATCAGTAAATACCGACAAATGATTAACCCCCTTCTTTCGAAGATGGTATTGATATTTTGCGTAGTTATCTGATTATCATAGAGATTATACACACAAGATTCTTGATTTAGAAAAAAATGTGAATATTTATAACAAATTGACTTAATGGAAAAGGAGTCTACATGATTATTGGCTTGTTACAAATCCTTTAGTTGGCATTACTGTGCAATATCGATGCCAATTGAAACATTTTAATACCTTTAAATAATATTATGAATATGGTGCTTGATATTGACATGTGTAACAATATAGGGAATTAACAACCGTTGATCCTATTTAAGTGCAACAGCGAATGATCTATTTGGTGAATAATGGAGGTATTCTTACCACAAGAAAAAGACACCATTAACCCCTGTCCCTAAATCAATACGGCCTACATAGCTTCTAAATGTCATAAACATGTCACATATTGAAAATATTTACTGCACATAAAATGCCCACGGGAATCCAATTAAGAAACTGAGGTATTAATGGTCTTAAACGATTTTTCACTTAGCATCCACCAATATCTTTTACTAAGCTCGTTTAAAGAATTTTATAGAACCTTGTGGGTGCTTGGCTAATTGACTAGCTTTAGCCTCAGACAGTTTGCTGTATCTAACATTAGCCAATTTTATAATGCATCTTTACAAAATAACGGAAAAAAGACCGGGGACCATAAGGTGATTTTAGGTATAGGATTAGTTTGTTGTTGGGGGGTAGTGTAACATTGCCTGATAAAACTTGAATTTGTGATTAAAATCTGAAGTTGTGGATACAATGTATGGAATATTATTTGTTTACCGATTTCCATGCTTTTCAGATAATATTTTCCAAGCCCCAGTCCCAACTTGTCAGGGTTAGCGCGAGTGGAGGGCGGCGCAAAGAAAGTATACATAGGCGTCCGAATGGGTCAAACCGGAGGTCCAGGCTTGCACATATTTGAGTACCGGTAAAAGAAAACTTGACAGTTGGAATTTGATGTAGCGTAGATGAAGACACCATATTTAACCCTCCTTAATATTGCCCAGTTGATCTTAGAAAACGTAATAGTGTGTTAGTCTCGTAATAACCGAAGGGTTTAATTCCATACATAACTTTGACAAAGCGCGCCTTTTAAATAGTTATATGTGTTGATAAAGTGAAAGCGTAATACTGCAAGAACAGCTGCAATTAAGCGCCCAGAGCATGGCCTATCATGATATCCCATTTGTCTACTGGTCCTTTTCTGATCCTTCACCTCTAACATTTACAATTATTTAATACATTAACAGGGTTCATATCATGCATTTCTTTCCTACGCTCTCAATTACTCAAATACTGATAGTTTTCTTAATGGTCTCTTCCCACGACCCGCAGTTCGGGATATTAAGGAATAGGTTGAAATCTTTATTGGTCAAATCACACGTAACATGCAAATATACGGAACTACTTTTTACTTCTTGATTTCATCCATTAAGTGGCGAATATCAAAAAGGAAGTATTGCAGAAGGGAAATAAAACAATTTATATTTTTGTAAATTATAGTTAGAATTAATGCCATATAGAAATTTCGACGATTTGGACAAAACTATATTTTGAATTAACGTTTACAACTCCCATCTCAAAACTTGTTTTTTAAAATAGTACTTGGTAATTGTGAAACAATCCTTTTCAAAATCAGTGTTCTTTACAATGTACGAAATGAAATGTGGTATTCTTCAACAATCGGGTTAATAAACAAGGGTATACGCCATTCAGAGTGCTATGGGAGAATGTTCCAACTGCCAAAGGTTCTTTTACGTGGACGAGACAGCTTGTTGTCACTAAAAAGATTCACACAGAACTGTTATCCACAGTTAATGCCCCTGTCAACGAAACCTAACAGAAAAACTCCTTATCAATTTTCAGAAATCTGCTAATGGGCGTATATTTGTTGCCAGACAACCCCATCGTGTTATGTTTGTGTTTCTGAGTAATAATGGTTCAACATTTTCTCCATTTCAGGTGTTTCTGTAGCAGTCAGTTGTTTTACCTTGGTGGCCATCAGTCTAGAGAGATACTTCGCCATTTGTCGACCATTACGTTCTAGACAATGGCAGACCTTGTCCCACTCCTATAAAGTCATCGTCGTTTGTTGGGTTCTTGCGTTTGCTTTGATGTGGCCAATAGCTGCCTACCAGCGACTGAAGACTCCGGGTTATGGTATCTACAGATGTCAAGAGGATTGGGCTAGTATAGAATGGGAGAAGTTTTACACCATCTTCCTAGATTGTATGCTTCTGGTGGTGCCAGTTATTATTATGTCGTTCGCCTATGGAATGATAAGTTATATATTGTGGGTCGGCATGAAACTTGAATATCAATCAGAACAAGGTATGGTTATAGTACTTTATTTTTTTTTTTATCATACGAGGAATGTACGTTTCGAACACAAACTTATTCAATACAAATCCTCCTATTGCCACCATTTTGCCCCTATATAACATCTGTAACTTGAGAGATCGGTGGTCTTGGTCCTTGTAGCCATTACATCGACTGTCACATTAATTACGTAAGAGCAACCGTCTTTACATTACAACCAATCTGATTAAAATACAGATCTATATTTCGTTTCGTTTTGTTTTATATTTTCGATGACCTGACCGGTTGTAGTGGAAGGTCACGTCAGGGGTCGTACGAACGAGCGACTTTTGAGCCTTTGACGTCAGACATTGGTTAATCAAACAGCGATGACCCTTTTTAGTGGTTTACCCACAGTTCCATGCATTGCACGCCAAGAAATCGCCGTAACAGACCGTTTCTTAGGCCAATCCCTCACGTTAGGTTTAACGTCCTACTCCGACTGGGCTAATGAAGACGGGCATACGCTAGTGTGCTATGAGGAAAATTGCACATTGCATGCCGTATGCAAAATGAAATGGGGTTTAACGTCCTACTGTTCTGCTCCGACTGGGCTAATAAGACCGAAATACGCCGTACAGTGTTATGAGGGAAGCTGTGCCCGGACAGCGGCGCTACGACTTCCACTTATACCGATTCCCAGCGCTCACTTGTACACGGGAAATATACGTTTGAGTCTTAGACATGATAATAGTTAAATAAGACTTTATTCTTTCTACATCACTATGGACAGATCCAGCATAGTATCTGATCAGACCTATTTTTAAACCTTAACGAACTTTTATCTTGGTTTACAGAATATGATATTCGTTAGTGTCTTTTTAGAATATACTTATAAGATTATGGGGTTGTAGAAAGAGAACTGTGTCGACCGAATGTTTGCTTATTGACGGTGACACATCTGATTTACTGGTCGGCTTCATGTCGGCTATAATTATCCATTCATTCTCTGTATTCATTATTTATTTAATTGCAGAGAAACGAAGCAATCGGGCTGAATACAACCACAATAGTAATGGAACAGGTCAGCCTGCTATTTCTGTAATGAACGAAGCGGAATATCCAATGAATATCCAGTCAACCGGAAGTCGACCGTTTCGCCGATTTGAACAGCAACGAGCATTAAGACAGTCAAATAGTGTAAGGAACCGTGCAGTAAAGAAAAGGCTGATTAAAATGTTATTCGCCATTGTTCTTGAATTCTTCATCTGTTGGGCGCCGATTTACATTCTTTACACGTGGTTAATCTTTGATAAAGAGGGCGTCCGACGCCATGTAAGCGGTTTGGCGAAATCCCTCATTCATTTGTTGTCATACGTATCCTCATGTTGTAATCCCATTACATACTGTTTCTTCAATCGTAATTACAGACAGGCCTTCATTGCTGCCATTCGTTGCTTCCGAAAAAAAAGATACATATACGCCCATAAGAGTGAAATGTCTTTTTCCGGAAATACAAATTCGACAAGAACGATCGCAAGCAACGCAGCCAGTTATGATAAAATTCAAGAATCAGACGAACTCTCAGAGAAAAGTCTGTGAATGGCAGGCAGATACGAACGAACTTTCCAGAAAAGTGCAACGTTTCGAGTGCAACATGTAAGTGATTAATGTTTGAGCTAGGACTACCAACCAGGTCGCTGTAAATAAAATAACAGATGTATTTTGGGATATGGGTTGTAAAATGAGTTGTCTGGAAAATCTGACATCCAAAATACTCAAAGAACGTGCAATATGTAGTGCAATGACGTCAACAATATTATTTCTGTGAATGGTTTATGTGAAATTCTGAAGTTGTTAACAGATGAATTGAAGACGAGAAAAAATAATCGATTGCGTTCTATTTCTAGCTTGTTTATTACTGTTACCTGTTTATATTTATATAGGATTTGACGTCATTATTGTATTAAACTGTGTGTCAAAACTTTGTCTATATACCTGTCAATGACACCCGGTTTTTTTGCATATCAATCTTCTGAATTAAGGCCAAGCTGGGACACGAGGATAAAGTTCCGCCTTTAATCGATTTTTGTTCTTTTTGATAATGAAAGAAATTTGTAATGGCCAATTTCCAGTATTTATTTATTAATTATTTATATTATTTATTGTGGATAAATGAATAATGCATCTTATTCAACAAGTTATTTAATAGGTAAAAAGAGAGCAGCGTTTAAGATTCATGTGTGTCTCTGGCTATATATGATCCATGGATGTTACTAAATATCATAAGATCCATGCGTGTTACTATATGTGATAAGATCCATTGATGTTACTAAATATCGTAAGATCCATGGGTGTTGCTATAGATCATAAGATGTGGCTGTTGCTATATATCATAAAATCCGTGGATGTTACTCTATATCATAAGATCGTAGATAGATGTACTATATTATAAGATCCGTGGGTGTTACTACATTGTATATATCACAAGTTCAGTATCGATATGTTTATTAATTACTTTTGGATGACATGGACATATAATTAATACGTTCCGGTATGACATACATTTTACTGTAAATTTGATCTGTAAATTTGTTTATACACGTATTCATGCATTTGATCAGTGAATTTGTTTTACCATACAATTGATCTGTGAATTTGTTTATACTATAAAATTAATCAGTGAATTTGTTTATAACTATAATCATTTGATCAGTGAATATGTTTTAAACCATACATTTGATCTATAAAATAGGCTTAAAACTATATAATTAATCAGTGAATATGTTTATAACCAAATGCATAACCATATATTTGATCTGTGAATTTGTTTATGACCATACATTTGTTAGGTTCTGTAAGTCATAATTTTCTTTAAGGTGTATTCCATCCTCGATTACTATCGACGCTCGACAGTAATTCATATTACGGTAGTAAACGAGGATAATGTAATTATTGAAATTTAAGAATTAATAAAATCATGTTTTGTTGCATTCGACTTGGTTATTATCTTTATAACCTGTTTAAATACTGTTCGTGCTCACCTCTAATTCTAAATAAAAAACAGGTGCCAGTGTTGTTAACTCTTGATTGTCGAGTTCCGGAATGTTCTTGAACTAAAACGTCCGACGTCGGCATGTAAAAAGTTAAAGGCTCGGTCAGAGAACCGATCCGTTGTATTATGGTCGCTACATCGTTGCCTCCTTGATTTATCTCCAATATTCCACCTTGTGGTACTGATAGTTCTGGCCTGGATGTTCGCGAGATGTTCTCTAATAAGAGAGGGTAGCCGCCAGAAACATGACCTTATTCCTGCCACTACAGTTTTGCTTTCTTGGTATATATTTCCTGGTTTATCTCGTAGGATAATAGAAAATTAAACCCCATTTGATTTCATCTCCAAACTCACTCCCACCTCGTAAGGTCCGGACCGACTATTAGTATTGCGAACAACTCAGACATCTGAATATATATCATAATAATGACAGTAATTAATAAAACAATACCATCTTATTACTCAATACATCAAATTACAAAACCAATCTCGATTTATAATACCGAAAGATATTTGAATTTCAAGTCCTGAGCTTTTAATTGTGGAAGCCATTAAGAAATAAAATTGGATTTAACGTCCTACTTTTTCGCTAATAAAGACAGGCATACGTCATGCAGTGTGCCGTGATGGACATTTTCTTTTGACATGGTGTTTCCGCCTTATCTTCAATCAATTGTTAGGTATACACGGGACATCAACAATCATTTTGGTTTTACACGGTGTTTTAGGGGCAATTGCATACTTAACATGGACCGAGGGCCTTGACGTCGTTTATATCCGGTCGACTCTTTATTTCTAATGACAGACGGTTTGAGACCGTGTTCTCCATCAACATATAATCCAACAGCGGACAATATGGATTATTAATCCCACCCCATTATTTTCAATCTTAAAATCCATGTCATTCATTTGTTTATTAGCAATTTTTGCACTAGCCGATGACAGTTCAACTTGTCACAATCTCCGATAAAAATATTGAAGGGAGTGAAGTTTCTATATGCAGTGCTGATATTTTAATACCCGATTTTCCCAATTCATACCTGTTTACTTCCTGACCCCTTGGCATCAAAATCACTAGTTCCTTTAGGAACGGCTTCTGGTCGGACCCTGTCCTCTAACCGTTCCTATCTGTCCCTATATGGCTGCAATATGAAAAAAAGGCTTTTTCCTCACCTCGGTTCTAAGGTTATTTTCGAATACTTTTCGCCGTGATTCTTCGTCGTTCACCAAAAGGAAACATTTCTTGTCACATCCGACACAGATTTATAATAATCACGCACTATTTTCATGTAGAATTTAGCGAACCAAAAACACAAACGAGATTCGTTTGAGTTGATCCGCCATTGTGAAACGCACGCCTGCGCAGATTGGGGGTCATGGGTTGGTGGGTGTGCTTAGCCAATATTCCTAATATAGGAATGGAATGTTACCGTAAACGAACATCCTTGCTGTACATCAATTAACGGACTAAACTTTCAATATTGATACCACTAAAGGTTTTTTATTCAGCATAAATTAACAAATATTACATATAATCGAATAACACATTTTATTGGCGCTACTTTATATCACTAAATCACTTTGTATACTTTCTTAAATGTGAAGTATTTATTTACTGTTAAGACTTTTTAAAAGCTTTTATTCATTTTATAAAGATCAATATGATGTGTTATTCGATGTTATTTTTTTATTCAACATACATGAACAATTATTACATAAAATATATAGGAACAGTTAGAGGACAGATAGGAACAGTTAGAGGTCAGGGTCTGATCAGAAACCGTTCCTAGAGGAACTACAAAATCACCAAAATGTGAATTCATACCCCGTTCTTCGATGTTAAACCGAAACGTCAACAAAAGAATACAATACAAAAGTTAGAAAAAGAGAAAAGGCAGAACTACTATGAATAGACGAACCACATCCGTGTTTCATGAACTCACGGAAAACAATTACTAGTCTTAGTTCACAAGGACGCCAACCCACGTGTATCCGCAGTAAAACTGTGTCGTTTCTAAACAAAGATAAATGTGTATAATTGACAAAATACACGCGGGCTGCCACCCATGGTCTTTCATAAGACGAATCGAGTCTGGCACGTAAATGGTTTACTAAATATGTATAAGTTGCAAATCTTAAACACACTATATAATATAGATGATGATTATAAGGCACAGTCTTCAATCTTATATAATCAACTTCCGTGTCCACATTACAAAGCGTTCGTGCAACTTGATTGGTTGCTCATATATTGAAATTGATTGTTGCAAGCCCTGTCGTATTATTGTTTCGATATCAATTTAAAGTTCAATAATGATAAGAGATTTTGTACAGTCGACAAACGGATACTCCTTGTCAGGTACAACCGGGGAATACCCATCAGAGCAAGACATATATTCCAGTTGCTGTGAAATCAAAAAATATATATACGTCAAAATATTTATAGGTACCAAAATTATAAATCCCCGCATCTCACTACGCTCGACAACATTTTAAAACACTTTCAAGTAAAATGAAATGAAATGGAATTTAACGTCCTACTGTTCTGCTCCTAACCCACTTTCAAGTAAGGTCATATGCCACCTGATTAACCCCAAATACAATAGTATTATATCCCCACAATCGTCAATAAAATATTTATGCTAAAGGGCTAATAGTCATCCGACTTTGATTTTGGTTTAAGCGATTAGGGGATCATGGTGGGTAAGACGCAGGCTCGCTAGCCTGGAGATCGGGTGTTCGATCCCTGCATTGGCCGAAAAAGTTCATCTAGATTTCCCATTGTCAGTGATGCAGGACGGAAGGACAGCTGTCTAGTCGATCGGATGGGACGAAGAACCGAGGTCCCGTGACACATTAGCGTGCAAGTAAAAGATCCCTTGACAGTTGGAATTCGACATAAGAGTAAGCCGTAGTGCCGCTGTCGGGGCAAAATTTCGCTCATAGCATACTGTATGGCGTATGCCTGTCTTCATTAGCCCAGTTACGAGCAGAACAATGGGGCGTTAAACCCCATTTAAGTGATTAGTTCTGGTACTTTCCGTTGCGTGTTTGGAATTTTCTCTGACGGAAAAGTTGATCCTCGAGAGTGGGAATAGTTCGATGATATTTTTAGTTGGAATAAGTCAGATATATATGCTGGAAATCATCCACATGTGGGCTAAAGGTTGAAGATGCTGGTAGACAATTTAGAATGATCAGTTGAACTTGTACGTCATTTGCGGTGAGCATAGACGCATATAAATTGCACAAACAATGAGAGTCTAACAAGAAGAAATTAATGGCTATAGATAAAACATATACGAAATTACAGCACTATATATACATGCATAATGTAACTAATCTTTTTGTTAGTTTCCGGACTCGACGCACTGGTTTCTATTGTTGTGAATAACCTAGACGTTAAGGGGTTGAAGGCATAACATTGACTAAATTAATCGCCGTCTCCAGCTCGCGATGCTTCGCTGCGCAAATTGGACAGGTTTTTATTAAATGCGAGTCGTTATCGGTGCCAGATAAATTTAAAGGTTTCGTCCTGACAGCCACTTAATTCAACGGTTGACCGACGATCTTGAAGCGACGAATAGATTGAAAAGTCTTTCCTGAGTTCGATGACTGATTGCCTTCAAGGACTCACTTGTGTACAAGTGGTCACAGCGCTGTTGAACAACCTGCCATAGTAACGACATCATTAACGACACGTGCTCAAGCGCAAATAAAATGGTGATATAGACGCGATTTCATCCCATACTTAGCCCAAATATATATAATGTATTAAATAGCTTTATTTCAACGAAAGGGCTTAAAACCGCTGATCGGTTTGGCATATTTCGGACAACATATAATCTTTCACAGCTTAATTCAAGCTAAAATGTACTCACATCGGTTTTTTAAAGGACAGTTTCAGTGTCAGCTATTATCACATACTGACTCACTAGATAAGAGAAAACGAAAAAAAATAGAAAAAGTCCGTGTGCATTGCCATGTTTTTATTCAATATAGAATGAATAAAAACAAGGAAATGTACGGGTTAATTCTTTTTTTTTTTCGTTTTTTCTTATCTAGTGACATTCAATTACTTTTTTTTTAACTGTCAGATATCCTCTCACAGTCTCATATAACAACTGTTGGTATTCTAAGGAATTATTAGTGAGCAGAAATTCGCCCGTGTATCTGTTATCGCTCGTTACTTCAATCGGTTATATAAAAGGTTACCTCGTGTTTTCCTTTCGTCATTTCCTTTTCTTCAAATCTTCGTTACTTATATTTTATCTATCGTAGCAATGATCTGTGTTAAAATTATATTTGGAACGTGTTTAACCAGTTCTATCACATATGTGATAATAGCTGACACCAATATTGTCCTTTAACTTTTAAAAACAATAAACGCTTGAATATCTCCCGGCTTGGATAAAATCGGATTTAATCAACACTTATAAGTGGTTCTGGCTTGTTTACATCTTTGTAAGTATAGAGCGGAATTGGATCATTTATTGGTGGATATTTAAAACATATATTATGCATGAGCTAAATCTGCCTATTGCAAGTCTTCAGATGTTCTAGAAATTATTAGTTAGACCTTTATTTACACGACAAGCTCAACATCAACTATGTAGACCCACGGATGGCTTGGATACAGTTTTGATTTAAACAGTCGTCCATTTAAAATTAAATCAATAAATGGCGGACCAAGCTAACGTTTACTGTTAGTCGCAGATGTCACTACCGGAAACTGGTCATGAAAGGCCTGTCAAGCGAGGCTACCATAGCCATTGAGCATGTTACTTGATAATCGAGAATATGTGGGAGGAGTTATCGTCTGTCAATCAAACGGTCGCTAATTCTCATAGACGGTGCAGACACAATTGATGCCTTTTTCTAGCCCAAACTTCCAACAGTGACAATT